GCCAGCCCTCGCACTCCTCAGTGGGAACCCCAACCCAGCCAGGGTGTCCCCTTAGCTCCCCAACTTCTTCCCAGGCATAGATTACACACATGCCAATGGTTGCTCTGACCCAACTTGGCACAGCCCCTTACCTGTCTTGGCCTTTGCCTTAGATGTCGTGGCCTAGTGTTCCTGGCTCATGCAGACCAGTAGGTGTTAAGAGCCTAGCTTGGCATGACCTGTGCTCCATCCTGATCTCTATTCTTGCTTGTGAGCCAAGGTTTGCTTGGCCCTGCCCAGCCCACCCCATTCCACAACCAACCCACACGTTAGACAGCCATTGGAGCTACTTTGCCCAGCCTACTTGACCCCCAGGTCTGGACCATGCGATCATCAATGGAAGTTGTAACCCACTAGGTGAGTTTCCCAAGTTTCCCCACATAACCCATTCCCAGACCCAGTTCCCATACATGCCAGTGAGTTTTAAGCCGTGCCTGGCATAGTCTGGCCTTTGATTTGGGCCTTGTATGAGCTGGTGAACGCTGAGCCTGGCCCACCCCACATCCCATTTTAGGATGCCCATTCAGGTGCTGCTGCCTTGATCAGCCCAGACTGTTGTCAGTTCTGCCACCCGTGAGTGATGGCAGATTCCATGTCACATCTAGCTCAGCCCATCATCACCCCAACTCCTGAGCCAACCAGTGGGACTAGTATTTCTACAGGGTTTGGCTCACACATCCCCCACAGAATCTACCCCAGAAATGGTTCTCTCATGTGCTGGTTAATGTCATGGCCCTGCTTAATGTGACCTGTCCTGATTTAATATTTTGTCAGGTATTAGGATTGACCCTGCTAGACAAGACTCTAGCCCTAGCCTTTGCATGGATTAGTGTATGGTGGTCAGCATTGTTCAGTGCTAACAAGTTCTACACAGGACTCATACGTAGGCTAGTATATCAGTCTGACTCATAAAGATCGTCTGGTTTCTCTCCTCCAAACCACCAGGTCTTAGCACCCTCACTTATCTTCAAAGAAAAGTTACTCTGTCATTGGGAGTCCTTCTGGATTGATTCACAACCCACAAGCACAGAGGACGTACCTAGGCAGCAATTCCATACCCCTAAGACCCCAGAGCTTACTGCAGGTCCGCCAGCAGGCAGAGCCTGGCACCAAATGGCATGCTTGTTGTCCAGGCTCAGCTCATCACGTGGTCGCAGGGGCTGGGGCCAGGGCCCCAAACTTGGAGTCCAACCTGACCTGGGACCTCCCAGCAACCTGACCTGGTCCCACCCATCACATAATGTTGGTGGTTGGTGAAGCCCAGCCCACTCTGTTTCCCAGAGTTTCCCTCTCAGCATACACTCACCAGGAAGTGAAAAGCCTCTGGAGCCCAGGCACAGATCACCAAGTGCTCGTGATGACTGGAGCTAGGACCCCAAGCATGGAGCCCGTCCCAGCCTGGACCTCCCAGGAGTCAGCAGGCTGCTGGAAGTTCTCTTATCCAGCCCCAAGGTTGTACCCAGTTAATGCATTTTTCATGAGTCCTTTATGCATTTGAGTGGACAGAAAGATGACAGTTACAGATTAAATTATGTCCTCCTGAATTTCCTATTGATTCCTCTCAGTTCTTCAGAATATAATCTAGGCCATCTTCCACCACTTTCCAAAGTGAATTAACAGAAAGCTGGTTTCTCCCCGCTTGTGGCCTGGGAAAGCAGTCGAGGACGGCCCAAAGCTTTGGGACCCTGCACCCGCGCGGGAGACCCAGAAGAGGCCCCTGGCTTCGGATCAGCATAGCATTGACCGTTGCGCTCACTTGGGGAGTGAATCATCGGACGGAAGATCTTCCTCTCTGTCTCTCCTCTCTGTATATCCGCCTTTCCAATAAAAATAAAATAAATCTTTAAAAAAAAAAAAGAAAGCTGGTTTGAAAGTGAAGTCATGACAACAACACACACAGCATCCTGCCATGGCAGATGGTGACATAAACTGTTACACTGCAATTTTATGTTAATTTTCTAGAATCGGTGCAAGAAATTACAGAGACAAGGTGATTTAAACAAAATATATTACTTCCTATTCCTGGATACCAATGATCTTTTTATAAGTGTACCAGACATACTGAGTTAGAACCTACCTTCATGATTTCATTTTTGTGACAATACATGAATGTATATGCAAAATAAGATCCTCTAGAGTACAGCAGATGCTGGCAGTATATTCGTGGACCTCCATCAACTGTGAACTAAACAAATAATTGTCTTTAAAAATTACACGGCCTCAGGCCTGGCAGCATGGCCTAGTGGCTGAAGTCCTCACCTTGAACGTGCCGGGATTCCATATGGGCACTGGTTCTAATCCTAGCTGCTCTACTTCCCATCCAGCTCCCTGCCTGTGGCCTGGGAAATCAGTTGAGGACGGCCCAAAGCCTTGGGACCCTGCACCCACGTGGGAGACTTGAAAGCTCCTGGCTTCGGATGGGCGCAGCTGTGGTTGTTGCAGCCATTTGGGGAGCAAATCATCCAAAAAGACTCTGTCTCTCCTCTTCTCTGTATATCTCACTTTGCAATAAAAGCAATTCAAAAAATTACACAGCCTCAGGGAACAAGCACTATAGTATTGTAGGCCATGCCTTGGCCTGTGGCATTCCATGAGGGCACTGGTTCATATCCCGATGCTCTACTTCCAGTCCAGTTCCATGCTTCTCAGTTTGGAGGGCAGCAGAGAATGGACCAAGTGCTTGACCTTCCTAAATTCATATGGGTGACCTAGAATATTCTAGCTCCTGGCACAGTCTGGTTCAGCCCAGGCCATTATGGCCACTTTGGAAAGTAATTAGTAAATGGATGCTCTCTCTCCCCGCTTCTCTCTGTAACTGCTATTTAAAATAATAATAAAAAAAAAACCTGAAAGTTAAAAAAATTGCCCTGCCTCAGCTATTTTGTTATAACAAGAGAAAACAGACTAATAACATGTTTCAACATATGTATTAGGAGCAGGGGGGATGCAATTCAGATCACAGCACCGGTCAAAACAAAGTCCTTGGTTCTTAAAACAGTAAGCTCTATTTAGTACAAGTACCAAAAACACAGATTTTTTGTACTACAGGTCATTAGCAAATATTACGAGTTTATATTCAATGGGCGATTCTGATGTGCTTGGCAAGCCATGTGAGTACTTTTTAGTCCCTTCCTCTACTAACCCCAGCCTGAATTATTGCATCCCATTTAAGAAAAAATAAAACAAAAACCTTTGTGGAAGGCAAGGTAATCTAGCCCCTGCTCACCTTGAGATCAGCATCAATCTAATTACTACTTCATTCAGAGATGAAGGTGTGAGTCCATGTGACTTCCTCCTCCCAAGATTTTCTAATTGACTTACAACTGTAGGGAAAAAATACCTCACATCTCCCAAGTTAGGACCCACTGGCACCTGGACAGAGAAGATTGCATTTTCCATGCAAATAATACACTAGAGGTTTTCTGATTTGTTAGTTGAAAAGATAAACGAAACTAGACCACCAAGAAGAAACCACAGGAGACCCAAGATATGATGCTAGTTACTATTTTTATTGCTACATTAGAAATGAAAGTTAAGCTGAGAAGCTGCAAAAGCAGGCAACTTCTTGTATTATTATGAAGCAACGGAGGCATACATTGTAGATTAAAATTGGCTTACTCTGTAAAAGGTGTGAGGACTACTCACACAGAGGTAATCAGTGATGATTTTTAACAGCATGTGCCATCTGGAATTTCAGCTATCAACAGGAAGTGTAAAAACGAAACTTAAAGGGACACTGATGTCTTAACCAGGAAGTACATGCGAGAAATCATAAGGTGCCTAAAATCTCTACAAACACATAGGTTAACAAAAAACCAAAACAAAACAAAGAAACAGAAGAAAAAAAAAAACAGGCCTAAAATGAAGAATCTTCAGTAATGTTGACATTTGCTCTTGGGAGGAGATCTGCAACTTATGATGTCTGAACGCTTTCTTTCTCCTGCTGGATAGCTACAGGGGGGAAACAAACCAAAATCACTAAGAGTATTTCAATTCACTTTCTTCTAACATAGATCTGTCACACACTTTTGAGATGCCAAGAGACTAACCACAAATCCTCAGTGTGTGTACACATCCAAATGTGTCTGTTGATCACCTAAACAATCATCAGAATTTACACAGACTGCACATTACTTCCCCATTTGAAAAATGTATTTATGCTGTTGTCATTTTTCCCATAGACCTAAGCGTGTAAAGTGGGACACCTTCTCCATATTTGCATACCACCCTATTCATAAATTACTTTCAAATAATTTTGGCTACCTTTGAAACAATCAAGTAAAGCTGGCATGACAAAAAGTGTCCTTCACCTCCTTTGAACATGGCTGGCATTTCTGTACTAGTCTTTTAAACTCTGGAGCAAAACTGATCCCTTGAATTTGTAGGCCTCAAATACGCCCAATAGCTAAACTTACTTTAACTGCTTCATCATCATGTGGACCAGGTTTGGCAGGGATGAGCTCATGGCCCCCAATTTTTACGAGAGTAATTCCAAATAATGGAAAATGGACAAAATTAAGGCTATACAGCACTAAGTTCAATAAGCCAACATTGGTTCTAATATGTTTTCTTCATAATTTTACAAGAAAATAGGTTTTTTGTGTGTGAATTTCCCCATTACTACTAGTCCATGTCAAGTGACAACCTTTTATATAATCCAAATAAGACAATGACTTGATAATCATAATTGACACATTAAATGGTTCTGTAATTATTGCTTACATTGCAGCAAAACTTACTAGAAAGTGGGTTTATTTACTGAGCCTATTAATATACACTGTCTCCATTAGAAACTCCCCATGACTTACTTTCCTTCGATGGAAGAGTATTTTTTTCTTCAGTATTAGTTTTCTTCAATTTTGACTTGTCAAACTTCTCTACTTCTGATAAGTCTGGCTTGTCACTCATCTTGGCTAAATAAAAAAATAATAAATTTCAGTTAACAGAAATATTAAAGTTACCAGTCAATTCCTTTTATATCTATGTATACTTCACCTACTGGTTTCAACAGGAAAGCAGCAACACATCTTTAAGCAATCATGTTTTTATAAGAATACTTCCTAGTACGCATCACTAGGTCATTCCTCACGGGTGGTAATTGCCCCTGGATCAGAAGGTATCAGCAGTAGAAAGCCAGAGCCAATATGTCTGACTTTCAATTACAGCGAAGGTAAAATGGAGGTGATGGAAGCCCAAGAGCCGACTGCGATGAAGAAAGGAGAGCCTGGGTTAAGCAGGCTCCTTCCTTAGCAGCAGACAGCACTGTTGCAGCATCTTCGCTTTCCATCCAACTACTCTGCTTAGGCGTGGGGGGAGGGGGACAGACAAAGAAGGGTGTATGAAGTTCTTTCCACGGTAAATGCCCAAGGACGCTAGCTAAGGTGCTACAGAAGGGAGGCAACCAATCTGGTCCTGATTACATGTCTCCTGAGAGCTCTGGGGGCACTTTATAAGGACAGACCCAGGACTCCAGAAGGATGCAGTCAACCAAGCAGAAGAGGGTCTTACTTCACCAGGTTTTCTCTGGAAAGGGAGAGGCCAGGGACGAGGCTCAGAGAAGGGGGACCCTGGGAACCCCGGTTTGCTGAGCCCTTCCTGGCCTGCCTGAAGGGACAAAAGGAGATTGCAGACTCCGGAAGGCGGGGCTCGGGTGCGTGCCCGGCCCCACCCAGGCGAGGAAACAGCTGTCGGGTGCTCGGAAGGAAATGGGGAGGGACCCCCGCAGTCGGAGGGAACCCACGCAGCCTGGGGGACCCCGACACAGCCGAAGAGAACCCACGCAGCCGGAGAGAACCCACGCAGTCGGAGGGAACCCACACACAGCCGGAGGAACCCCCGCAGTCTGAGGGAACCCCCGCAGCCGAAGAGAACCCACGCAGTCAGAGGGACCCCCACGCAGTCGGAGGGACACCCCCGCAGCCGGAGGGACCCCCCACACACACAGCTGGAGGGACCCCACGCAGCCGGAGGAAACCCATGCAGTCGGAGGGACCCCAGGCAGCCGGAAGGACACCCCCGCAGCCGGAGGGACCCCAGGCAGTCGGAGGGACCCCAGGCAGTCGGAGGGAACCCACGCAGTCGGAGGGACACCCCCGCAGCCGGAGGGACCCCAGGCAGTCGGAGGGACCCCTGCAGCCGGAGGGAACCCACGCAGTCGGAGGGACCCCCACGCAGTCGGAGGGACCCCCACGCAGTCGGAGGGACCCCTCTTCCCCCTACTTCCATTAGGTCGAGGCTACCCAAAGACCCTGGTGGCCGCGACGAAGACGCCAACCCCGAGGCCAGGAAGCCAGAAGGAACTAGACAATAGCACAGCCTGCCAGGAGCAGCTGGGTTCCTGTTTGCAGGAACCGCGACCTCCGCCGCGCGGGGAGGCCAGGGCCCCGCCCAGGCGCGCTCCCGGGAGGCCCAAACGCGCCTCTGCGTCCTCGCGGCCTCCGAACGCCCACCCTGGGACTGCCCAGCTCCCCTCGCCCACCCTGCGCCGTGGACCCAAAGCCCGACCCCGCCAAGGGCTGGGCGGCGCCCCAAGGGGCGCCACGAAAAGACAAAGACGCAGGCTGCGGGGCGGCGTCGCCGCGAAACGCCACCACAGCCTCGCCCGAGGGTCCTGAAGGCGCGACCCTCGCCCACGGCCGCGCGGCCCCGGCGCCCTCCCGAGGCCCTTCTCATCCTCGTCCCGCGGGGCTGCCCCCCTCACCTGGACACAAGACCCGAGAACAGACGTCTGTGGGAAGAGCGCACCGCAGCTCACGCAGGACCAGGCTGGTGTTCCCCACCCCGGGAGCCCTGCACTTATAGCCCGGCTGCAGGCTCCACCTCCAACCCCGCCCCACCCTTCTCTGATTGGCCGAGGGACTCCAGGCTCCGCCCTGCCCCACCCTGCGCCGCTTTATTATTCTATTATTACTGTTATTGTTACAGATTCACTTGTTTATTTGAAAGAGTTATGGAGAGGAGGAGAGAGAGAGAGACAGTGAACCATCAGCTGGTTCACTGCAAATGATCCCAGTGGCCAGGACGGAGCCGGGCTGAAGCCTGCAGCCAGGAATTCCATCAGGGTCTCCAGGTGGGAGGCAGGGACCATCTTGAGCTGCATTTCCAAATGCAGGAGTAGGGAACTGGATTGGAAATGGAGCAGCCAGAACAACCCCAGACCAAATGAGATGCCTGCATTGCAGCTTAACCCCTTGTGCCACAAAACGGGCTCCCTACCCTGCACTTTCAGCTTTCCAGGGCCTGAGTCCACTCTCACTCACAGCAACCAGGGCTTGGTGATGACATGACCGACCCGGCTCTTTGAACCCAGTCCCTGTACACAAGGAGGGTGTGAGACTCAGGTGTGACCCAGCTTAGCATCCGTTTGGGCAGCCGGACTACCTCCATTACCTCATTCTCAAACTCTGGTAGACAGCAGAGTAGGGATTCAACTGCTCGACAGTAGGGTGAGAAATTCACTATGTAAAGATGGTCAAAACATAATAAAAACATATATTAAAAAATAGAAAATAAGACTAGCACTTTGTGTCAAAGCTCGGTTGATGGGCTTGCTGCACCACCAGATAAATCTCAAAAACTCCTATCCCCCAGCTACTGTTCACAGAGCAAGTCTCTAGATGTGCCTTGGTAGCAGGCTGGCATTGTGGTGCAGTATGTTAAGCCGCAGCTTTTGACATTGGCTTCTCATATATCAGAGTGCATTTAAAGTCCTCCATTCTACCAGTCCCAATTTCTTCTCATTGCAAAAAAAAAAAAAAAAATCTTAGTTTCTCGAATTTTTGTAAACTTCTACAGACATGTGAGTTACTGAAGAATGGATGCCTAGCATAAATTTTCATTTTTCCCGTGTGTTTTATGTAGATTATACCATAAATCCTGCTTCTGGCTAATGTATCTGACCTCTATGTGGGAGACCAGGATGGAGTTTCTAGCTCCCAGCTTAAATCAAGTGTTTGTGAAGAGACAGAGCAATGGAAATGATCAAAAACTGCAGGCAATGGTATACATTGGCCTGACCACTTAGGCAAGCATCCAACAATGTGGATTACTGCAAAAGATGCACATTACTGACTGCAGAAATACCGCTCCTGTGTATGCAGTCTAGAGGCAAGTACATAAAGAAACACAAATTCTTCACAGCACATATATATTTTTTAAAGATAAATTTATTTTTATTACAAAGTCAGATATACAGAGAGGAGGAGAAACAGAGAGAGGAAGATCTTCCATCTGATGATTCACTCCCCAAGTGAGCGCAACGGCCAGTGCTGCGCCGATCTGAAGCCAGGAGCCAGGAACTTCCTCCAGGTCTCCCACACGGGTGCAGGACCCTAAAGCATTTGGGCCGTCCTTGACTGCTTTCCCAGGCCACAGGCAGGGAGCTGGATGGAAAGTGGAGCAGCCGGGATTAGAACCAGCACCCATATGGGATCCCGGTGCATTCAAGGGGAGGACTTTAGCCGCCAGGCCACACGGCTAGGCCTGAGCACATATATTTTCTAATATTTTAAAAACATCTGTTTATTTTACTAGAAAAAATAGAATTACAGAGAGAAAGAGAGGGAAAGAGAGAGATTCAATCTGCTGGTTCACGCCACAAAATGGCTGCAACAGACAGAGCTGAGCATATTTGAAACTGGGAATCAGGAACTTCCTCCGGGTCTCCCACATGGGTGCTGGCTTAAAGGCTTTAGGCCATCTTCTGTTGCTTTGCCAGGCTGTATGCAGGGAGCTGGATGGGAAGTGGAAGAGGCATCATAAAAATAACCATCATATTGTATAAATTAGCATTAGTTAAATAACTGGCTGAAGCATCTGACACTCTTCTCCAAGCTCTCAGCTGCTGAGGGACTCCAGCTTCTCCCCCTGAATCCCTAGAGCTGGGCAGTGAGTGACCTACATGGCATTGATAATATCTTTTGGAGCTGAGCAAATCCAAAGCCACGAGCCAGCAGCTTCCTCTGGGTCTCCCACACAGGTGCAGGGCTGTCCTCTATTGCTTTCCCAGGCCACAAGCAGGGAGCTGGATGGGAAGTGGAGCATGTGGGACACAAACTGGGATCCTGGTGTGTGCAAGGTGAGAATTTAACCACCAAGCTGTCACTCTGGGCCCTTTCTTCGGTTTTACTCATCTATCTTAATCCTGCTGCATAGAACCACATAAAATAGTATTCAGTGTTATGTAGGACAGTTTACTGTAGTTGATTTCACACACGTTTTTGTTTTCAGCTTATCATCAATGATTTCACACTGGTGAGAGTTTTGTTGCATTTCTGGTGACTGATTCCCCCACTTCAGGGATGCTAGGAAGGGTTATACAACCATTTTCTGAGTGGATTACTTTAGCTCTCCATGATCAGTCTTATTAACCTTGCTAATGTGCAAAGATTCAACCTATAGGTTTGAATGTTATGCCAATTGCCAAGCCTCACACAGTTCAGAAAGTGGGTGAGCAGGGATCAGAACTCTGTGCTTTCTGATGCCAGATTCCAGTTCCTGGCTCTCTGTTTCAGGACTCCAACCGCATAGGGAAAAGTGGAGCGGACATGAAAGAAGATGGAGGCAATTACAGTTAGAGGCTGCTGTAGCAAGCTACCTGAGATGAGAAAGAACCTGCACATTCTGTTCTTTCTGCTGCTAATACAAAATCCAAGTGCCTGGAAGTCAGGGTTAGGCAGTTCTGGAAACTCTGTAACCCCTATAAAGAAATAGTTCCCCTTGTTCTGGAAGGAGCATCTGGGAGATCTGTGGGAACCAAAGAGCCCACTTATGGAACCCTAGATCCCATGTATACAGAAGACTGTGCCCTTTTGTCCTCCAGTGGTACAAGTTCATGTCCCTGAAGTGCTGAGTCCAGCCAATGAAGTTGGTGTGCTTCATTTTGGTCCAGGATTTCCAGTCCTCCAGCCTGCTCATCAATGTCATATCTATGAGTTCCCAGGCCAGCTTTAAGGCATAAAAGAGTCTGATGCATTAAATGACAAATCCCTTCTGACATCCCCATAATTGCTCATGACAAAAGGGCACAGTGGGCTTTTCCTTCCATCTGTTTGTAAATGTTGCACTTGATACTGGGTCCTAGTTATATTCCAAATAGTTGCCGCAGTGAGATGTCTGGCCTTGGCTGCAAGGGGATTCAAAATCTTATTGACAGATCACATTCCTCAAAGGAGGCTCACTTGATCCATGGCTATTCTAGAATGGGTATTGAGAACAGCCAATCGGTTGGTCTCTTTACCATTAATTTTTGACATCTTGGATAAATCATGGAATTCTCTGGGTTGATTTGCCTCAAGTTTATCTTGACCCATCATCTATCCCTATCACCCATTACCTTTCAATTTGTGAGAGGTACAGTATTCTATGGCTAGGCTTGTAAATTGAGTCCAACAGCTATATAACATATTGTTTATCGTTTATTTTAAATTTTTTTTAAAAAATTATTTTTATTGGAAAGGCAGATATACAGAGAGGAGGAGAGACAGAGTGGAAGATCTTCCATCCAATGGTTGACTTCCCAAGTGACCACAATGGCTGAAGCTGAGCCAATCCAAAGTCAGGAGCCAGGAGCGTACTCCAGGTCTCCCACACGGGTGCAGGGTTCTGAGGCTTTGGACCATCCTTGACTGCTTTCCCAGGCCACAAGCAGGGAGCTGGATGGGGAGCAGGGCCTCTGGGATTAGAACCAGTGTCCATATGTGATCCCAGCATGTTCATGCTGGGCCCTGTTGTTTATTTTTAAACAAACCTTTATTCATTTGTTTATTCAAAAGGAGAGAGAGAAAAAAATCTTCCATTCCTAAATGGGCTGCAATGGCAGATGGTGGTTTAGCTTGAAGCTCCATCTGGATCTACCCACGTGTCAAGGACCCAAGTATTTGGGTATTATCCAGTGATTTCTCATGCGCGTTAGTAAGGAGCCCAATTAAAAGTGGAGCTATTGGGGTTTGCAGTATCACTTCCATATGGATGGTGATGTTGAAAGTGTTGACAGCTTAACTTGCTGTACCACAACAGCAGCCACTGTAGTTGTCCTTTTCCTCTCCTAATCACAAAGAGCAGCGACGACACTCCTGGTCTACTCTTCACACATGTCTGTACCTGTAGCATCCATCTATTCAGACATTCTTTATGAATTTAATCCAGGACAAGAATTGAAGTCAGTCATAGATTTCATTCTGGTAAGATCATTTACCAGTTATGAGACTTTGAGTGATATAGTTGATCCAATATATTTGACATAATTCAGAGAATTATACCTGATTTTACAATAAGGAAAATACGGGGTGGGGGAAGAGAAGACTTAATATATTTGTGTAACATGCACATCAGGGTGATATATAATATGATAGAAGAACTAATAAAATGGTTATTGTACTGTTGACTCTAGTATTGGGTCATTAAGATCAGAAAGGATGAGATATGGCCCCTGTTATATCCTCTGTTATTACAATTGAATGGAGAACTAGCATTGAAACCAATCCCAAAAGCTTTCAATGAAAGGCAGCATCTAATCAAGCTCATAATCCCCGAATCATGCTGTACCAGAGACTAGGGAGATAAGGAGGCAGCGAAATTACCACAGCTTCGTGCCAGACACTGTCCCTGGAAGGCCCCCTCTAACCTCCCATACCACCCTAATCATAACCCGTCTATGTGGATTATAACTGATCCTTGCATTTT